CAATTGAGGGTTTTTATTCTAGGGCAAATCTGAGCTATGAATTAATTGACAGTGAGATCAAAATCAAATGAAAAAATGGGTTTAGGGGAAAGGATTATGAAAGGCAGAACAGTGAAAAGCACTGAAGGCTATCAAGTTTTCACTGCAAACATTCATGTAACATGGAGAAAGTTTATCCATCGACTTACAACACGCTTTCAAATGCCAAAGTCTACTCACTTCAATTACTTCTCACAGTCAAGTTCAAGCTTATACTCGGGCATTCACTTAGACTCACTCGTGGATTTAGCCAAAGCCTTAGGAGCAGGTTGAGTCGTATGGCTAGTCTTACAATTAGGCTCAGTGTTTAGGTGACCCTTGGCCAGTGCATATATCCTTTATTTTACTGAGCTGTTCCACATCATGGTTGTTCCACATTTTAACCGGTCTTGGCCCAGCCACTGCCCCGACTCTACGTTTTCCAAAATTTCGGCTCCACAATTTTAAAATTTCAACTTCAGCTGCGGTTATAGCTTCACACTTTCCAGTTTTCAGCTCCAGCTTCGGCTCTGTTTTCAAAAATTTCGGCTCCACTCCCATCCCCGTACTTTTTTAAACTTCGGCTCCGGCTCCCATTCAAATTCCAAACTTTCTTCTCCTCCGCTTTGGCTCCAACCCGGAGCAGTCTGGATCCGAAGAAAAACGATCTGTTATTATGAAGTGATCAAAAATGTTCAAAGTTGGCAGCTTCCTCATCGATATGTGATTAGCGACTTCCTCTTTCTAATTTGAGACGTATAGAAAATATTTTACGCCTATTGTCAAGTAGTTAAGGAGTTCCTCGATAGAAAAAGCATAACACTGTATCAGAATCAATCCCAGCGATCATAGGATCGTTCACGTCCCCGCAATCTTTGTACCCCTTCATTCCTTTAAATTCCTCCGTATAATACATCGTCACTGTCGCTTAATTCACCTGCCAACCGCCGTCCACTGCTACTATTATTTTGTATTTACTCCGTGTTACAAACAAACAAGCTCTTGCTGCCGAATAAATAATTGGTCGTTCGCCTCGTCACCGTATTTTTTCGCCCTACAACAAACCACGATTGTTAGTCGAAAATATTTCCCGACAACACAAAAATTTAATTCTCAACAAAACAGTCTGTGTTGTCATTTTTAGAAACAAAAAATGCTCCAAGAACTTTAACAAATTATTTTCCCTAAAGTAAAAACAAAGAGTGGTGACTTCCACCCTGTGTTTGTATTCAAGGAATCCCCCCAACGGGCGCACCTGCGAGGAGACGATTCGTCAGAGGTTGTCACGAGGGCCGCCATACGGACACTAGTCAAATATTTTCATTCATTTTGCTACGTTAAGCTTATCTCGACAGAGTATTGAGAAGATGGGCAATGCAAAACATTTAGCCGGTTACACATTGGATATATTAGGAATTATATTTTAAACTTCCTCTGCAAATCGTAGAAAAAAGTAACTCACCACTCGATTCGTTGATTGCAATAAATAAATCAGAAATTTTGAGTAGTTGATCATTGATGTGAGACGATTCAATATTCAATTGTCAATCGAATGTGCAGAAAACTTGAAGGTTTACCGTTTGAGGTAGCAGTGATTTGAAGTGACAGAATGTGTCTGTGCGTTGGAATGTTGTTATTACGTCAATTCTTGTTCGCTAAATGCAATGATCATTGGTTCTGTTACTTTCAACTTCGTAATCACATTAAAACGGAGCAATCTTCAATCATCAACTTTCAACCCATGTGATTCATATTCTTCCATTCCGTTGACTTGTCTACTTCAGACCTGATAAACAATGAAAGGAGTTCTCTAAAACAGTGTTCCTCATAGGGGATCAAGTACCTCNCCTTTTGGGGGGGGGGGGGTAATATGGTGGTGTAAGCAGAGGGGTGATTGAAGTTGTTGATGAATTTCAATTTTTTTCATCCTTATTGAATGTTTTTTTTTCGTTGTTAATATTTTTTCTTTTTTTTCATAGATTTTCGTTGTTGATTGCTGAGGTTCATATCGTTTCTGCAACTGATGAATAATTGACATTAGATAAAGTTCTAAAAATATTTGTTCCATTCCAGAAAATTAATGTCTTTCACGTCACTGAGGAGCTTCCGGACCGACTTTCAGTTTGCTCCTGACGTTATGTGCGAGAATAGCAAATTCTTTTAGTGGAGGTGGGGGAAAGGGTAATAACGGCCTGCCAGACCATCGAAAGTGGTAATTGAGCTTCCAGTTGTGAGAAATATTGCTCCAGAAGATGCGAACAATATTGTTCTTGATGGTGGTTATGACGATGGGAACGATGGTGAAAATAATGTCGATAATAATGATAACAGCCAGCGTCATTGACTCACCACTTAAAGTATAAATGTCTCAAGATTTGTTCATCTAAATTTTACCTCAGTGAAAGTGAGGTATAGGTGAAGAAATACTTTAAGTGGTGAGTCAATGACGCTGGCTATTATTATTATTATTATTATTATTATTATTATTATTATTATTATTAATTATTATTATTATTATTATTATTATTATTATTATTATTATTATTATCTGGAACATCCAAAGTAAGGGAAAATAAAATTTTCTTAATTTGGGAATGAGGTGGCATTAAGGAAGAGTATTTTGTGAAAATTACAATAGATTATTGCTGCAATTTTCTGATTCGTTTTATGTCGATAAATGAAAGTTGTTCATATTTTAGTTGTTCATCTATAAAGACACTGTAATCAGTGTTGATTTACTAAATGAAATCCGTGAAAGTTGGCTTTTTGTCCTTCAAAATTCCATTGAGAAAATGTCTAGGAATAAAAAATTTTGAATGGAAAAAAAATTTCGGAAACCTCGAATTGGTAAACTTCAGTTCTATCGTACTTCAATCAAAGTATACTTCAGTAAATATTAACGACGATAATATTGACGACGCTAATAATAGCACTAATGAAGGCACTAATAATGGTATTATCGGTAATGCTAGTCATTCACGTAAGTGCATCTATAAAGACACTGTAAGTTTTCAGTAACAGTGCGAAAATGATGATGTTTTCAACAGAAAGTTTGTTAATTGATGGAATGTTTTGATGGTGACCTTGTTATTCCATCTTGAATATGCTATGAATAGGTTGTTTTCTTCACAGGAAGTTAATTGACGGAACGTTGTAACAAACCGATTGATTAAAACATGTCTATTCCAGTTCATTTGTCAAGTGTTTTTTTTGTTGCTTTCAAATTAAATTCCCTTAAAAACTGATGATCATTATCATTCGATTAGTGAATAATATCACTGAAGTGATTATTGGGCGTGACTGATTCAGCAAATTCCATTTACAATATCTGAGCGAACGCTTCGGTTAAATATAGGTAAAGTAAGTGTGTTGCTTTTAGTGATGCTCTCACAGCTAGTGTTTATCAAGGAACGGATCCCTGATTTTTGTCGGTAAAAACATTAATTTTTCTTATTCCCCGACAGTTTTGCTCCTCGACTTTTTGGTCGACCACTCGTGGACGCATTCTCCGCATGGACCATTGGTCAATTCACTGTTTTGTCGAGTCCACCTCCCTCCATCCCTCCTCCCCCCCGCTAAAACGTTGCTTCCCGACGAACACTATTCACAGCACAATATTTTTTCGTTTTAGCTATATCTTATTCATATTCTTTTGTGACAGTGTCTTCTGAATCCAGTTCGGTTGTGATAATTATTCTGCTTATAAATATGACGAACTGCTCTTCAATTCACAATTTTTACTCTTTAAAAAGAATCTGCTACATCATCATGTTATTCTTCATGAAAGCACAAATTTTTGTAGCTGAGAGTAGTGTTTGTAACCGACCGAATTTCTCCTGGATTTCAATTTTTCGGTTTTTGGGTTAATACCGGAGTGCGCAATTGTAGAAGTATATTTCGATCGAAGGATTTTCAAAATTTGCATACTGAGATCGCGCAATTGTAGAGTGGATTCAAAAAAATTCGAGGTTTCCCGCTTACGACCACTCGTTATCATTTTTCAAATAGCACCATTTATCTTCTTTGAATATGAATGAACGAACTACCTGGTGAATGCATTTGATCAAGTAAGCAGCAAAAACAATGAATTAGAAATGTTAAGAATATACTGAAGAGAAATTTTCACGAAACTTACCACCAATCAGTCAAAACTTCGTCAAACTTGCGGTCAATCAACCGTTTCCCATCCATCATAAGGAGCTGTTTTCGCGATACAGAAATAAAAACTTTTTCGATGATTCGATTGTGCTCATTAGTTATGAAAAGTCAAACTGAGGTGTTTTTTTTTTTTGAACTAATCATTTTCGTGCTTTAGCTTTTCTGTTGAAGTTATTCGTAACTACTCAATTAATTGCGTGTACATGAATCGAAAAACTTCCTGTTGAGCAGTTTTCTGGTTTTCGCAAGTTTGTTCGACAAATTTCTAACCGCATAAAAATCATTCATCCTAATTGTTTGTTCAGGAATTATGCAATCGATTTGCCTGGTGATTCTACTGTGTCTTATAAGCTCCTTATCTGCTTATTCACCATTGCGAAAGTACGCTTCGATACGAACAGATCATTTTGATGACGAAGACTCACTGAAGACAGAGGATGATGAAGTCCTTAAAAGAGTTGTTGCCGATAAGAGTGATAGTGAAAAGGATGCACAAAGCGAGCACTCCTTAAGCACTGGGCAACAACCAGTTAAAACGAATGAAAACGATGGTGTCGTGAATCTTGAAATTAAAAAGTGAGTATGTTCATTCATTACTGTTGTGTAACATCTTTATTACCACACATCAAAATTCTTTCATTATTTTCGACCAGAAATACTATGTCACAACATTTGCTCATCATCCACTTTTACACTACATATCAGCACATTTTTATCAGAATTCTGATTGGTGTATCAATCAGTCAGGAAATTTCATAAATGTTCAAATTCAATATTCTTTCGTCAAAATTATGATATTATTTTCTATGAGAGGCATTCGAGAGATTCTTAGCTGGGAATTACCTTTCTGAGCTGATCATGACGAGAGTTTGAAAGAGCAGTTGAATCGTTTCAATTGATGCATCAAATATGACAGCATGCCGTGTCAAACAAAGCAAAATGGTTCAGAGAGAACTTCGTTCAAGTAATTATACGTTATGAATGCGGTAGTGATTAAGGAAGAAACGAACTGATTTAACGCACAACTATGTCGACTGATGGATTATTCAACAGTCGGTGAATGACCGAAACACTTTCAGTATCGTTCATCTTTCCACGACCAACTCTTACGTGCTGAATTTTATCAAAGAACATTTTTTCAGAAGCCGTCAAAAGAGACAATTCCACTATCATCCTCATTCTGGCGAACACTTTCACTATGATATACCCAGTCCACATTCACCATTCGATTTCATCCACGCAGACGTACATCACAATCCAAATCCATTACTAACGCACGCCCATTATCGTATACAAGATCCGTACTCACCTGGACACTATCATGCGAATGTTCATTATCATGTTGATCCTTATTCTGGTGGTCTTTATCCACATGCTCAAATGGTTTATCATCCTTTCAAGGCAAAGAAATGATTTAATTTGCTCTTGCAACAATATTAACGAACTTGGTGCTTCATTCAACACTCATCACAATTGAACTGAAATAATCGTCTCTTGATATTCGTAATTCATTGATGGTATCAGATAGATTTTCGTTGTTGAAAATCAGTTCGCTGAAATTTTCGTCAGTGGATCAGCATTTGAACTGAACTGTTCTGCCTTCACCGCTATTTGAACGTCTTTGCAAGGATTTGTGGCTTCTTAAGCTTGTTTTGAAAAGGTTAAAATATCGACAACCAAATTCGACTAAGGAATTGGAAGAACTTTCAGTTCCTAGCCAAACAAAAATTACTTCCGAAAGATGCGTTTGATAATATTACGCCATTGAAGTGTATGAATGAGTTGTTTCGACATGATCAGTATTGCTTAATAACTATCACTGAATGGGACGAGAGTTTCTATGCACTCATGTATGATATACACCGTTACAATAGATTGGTTTACTCACAACGATAATAACCCTCAATCATCAGATTATAAAGATAACTCTACTTTCATTTGCTGATTGATCAGCAAATGAGCGTGTGTACTTATTTATAAATGTTTATTTATTTCGAATATCTTTTCCACATCCAAATGAAGCACTTAAACACACGCAATATACAAAACAGCACAAAAACGAGTACTTCATCGAAGAGCATATGCGTAAAACTGATGATGCTAATCAGTATATGAGAACATCACGGAACTAGTTTTTGTGTTCTGGACGGCTTGTTTGTTCTGACAATGAGCAACAAACTGAAGTGAAGCAGCTGAATTTGTTGAGTTGATTTGATGATACCTCAATATTTGTTCCAAAATTATGCGTCTGTACCATATCAGTAACAGATCTTTATCGATCAATATGGAGGTTTGGGTCCACCGACATACGGATAATATCCTGATGCATTTGTTCCATGTTGTGGTGCTGCGGGTATGCTAACCTGGAATAGAACACTCACTTTGTTTATTGCATTCTGAAAGTGTCCTCAGAACAGAATTTTACTATTATACTTTACTTTAGACATTCACAAGGAGCTAAATGCAAATCTATGCAATATTAAGCACAAGTCTTCATCGAGAAAAGGAGAACATGTTTGGCACCATCTCGAAAGAAATGTGCTTTGATAGGATTTGCTCTTAAATGCTATGTTTAAATACGATCAAGATCTTAGTTATTTATGAGCAAGTTGAACGCAGACTGGACAAGAAAGATGAAAAGCATTAAGCGGTTTCAACGAAGACACGTTATTGGAATTAAGTGATAAACATAACCTGCGATGGAGCAGGGCTGATACCGCTTCTCGAATCGATGAGTAATTTCTTTTGTCGTTTATCCTTCGCACGATTTAGTAACCAACAAAACAGCCACACGCCAAACGCAATAACGACCAGAATGCAAAAAATTATGATCAAAGCTAATGCCCATCTGTATTTTTCTTGCCTAAATTTGATTTTCGGCTTAGGCTGCATAATGATCACTTATGAAATTCTGATACGAAGTTGATGAGCTTCAGAACAAGTGTGCATTATAGAGATTCATTTTGGTGAGAAACGCTAACAGTTAATGCGAAATCGTCACGAGTACCAATCGCTGTTGACAAATTTGAACGAAGATGCAGGAGCAGAGTTTGGTGCCAAGAATTTAAGACTCAGCTGAACATTGAAATGATAAAATATTTTTCTCGTCAGCTTTTTTTGCATCATTCGATAACAGTTTCAAAAGCACATTATTTACCAGGAAAGATTGCTACAACATCCATTTGGGCAGCATCCGTTATCCCTTAAACATAATTCCACCACCTGCGCAGCTGAGTTTGGAATAGCATAGATACAATCAAGAAAATCCGCATTATCAGCTGAAATGATGCATCCAGATTAGCTGAAGGAGAGTGAAAGCACTAATTAATTTGTAATAAATACGATCGGATTTTCTGAAGTTCACTCAGAGATACTATTCAACCAACTCCATTATTGCGTTAATTTGACTAACTTTTGTGACAACACTTCCGATGGTAAAAAGTAATATGAAACGACAACGAAGAATTGAAAGGAGTCTGTATATTTGATACAACGAAACAGCATCACTTCACTAGGTAAATGCGAACCACTTGAAGTACCTAATTATTTGCATAGCTACTGTGCTGCTGTCACAAGAACACCAACACACTCCTCATCACATTTCCTCAATGAATTAACATCGCTCCACTGTTGAATAAATACTTCCATTTTAGAAAATCACTTCATTCGTTTACATATGTATTTCCATTTCAATTTATACTTATGTGGCTTTACAATCAATGATGCAAGCAGTTTCACTGTTATTATGTTGATCGCTTTGGAAGTTGTTCGTTGTTCTTATCAATTTACACTTCATTCTTAAAAGTTTTACTCCCACCAGAGATAGGCAGTAGCGCGCTAATGCTAATTCGTGAAACATAGCGAAAATCGAAAATCTTATTTCGCTAGTAGCGAAATAAGATTTTCGCTATTTTGCTACGTTTCGTTGTGTAGCACTAGCGCGCTACTGCCCATCTCTGACTTCCACCATATAATCAGATAGACTTCGTTCGTTGTTCTTCACAGCTTAACGAATAAATCAAGATCAAATTATAATACCATTCATCCGTTGACCAACGAAAGTTCCATACACATTCCCACTGACAACTACACCTGTGCCAACAAGCGGTTCTGAATCAGAAAGACCAGTGTCGTACTGGAGCACTGGTGGTGCGGTGTTACTGGATATGAATTGAAATCCTGAATTTAGAGAAATGCACTCAGGGGATATCATTTTCGCATGCATAACATCAATTATCATTCTTGAGAGATGATATTCAGTTTTTCTCACATGATTTTCGATTTCTCCAAATCACGTAAAAATTTTCAATTTTGATTGCATAATCTCATTCAAATGAGCACAATCAAATCAAAAGCAACAGTCTCTTTGAACATTATATTGTGAAATGTCAGGCATCAACCTAGTCATAAGTATATAATTCGAATGACTTTTTCAGTGAATAATGATGATGTTTGCAAATGCCTTCGAATATAGATTGGATAGTTCAAATAAAAACAGCTACCAAAAACGTTGGCAGATTGCAGTTGAACAAACTAACAATTCCCGCAGATGCTGAGTTGATATAAAACAGCTTGCAACGCACGCGGGTTAGAGCTGAACAACAGAAAGGGGAAAAGTTCAGTCATTTGACGATTTGATGGAATGAGAAGAAATAACTTATGATAATGATCATTTACGATCAAAGAAGCAATTTTGTTTGTAAGATATAAGTACTGATTATAATACTATTATAAGTTATGATTTATTTCAAGTAATAATATGAGTAGACTAGTGAATGGACATATTAATAAGTGCTCGATAATGTGACAGTAACTTTATTTGAAATTCTTGCAAATAAAATGGTGCTGCGTCAAACATTTCTCGATGAAATATTTGATGACTCTATTCGTAAAAGGTGCGCACATGACTGGTATACTATTGGGATTGTATTTCTAACAACAAACAATTCAATCTGCGATCAGCATTCAATTTTATCGGTTCTAAGCAAAAATTCAGCTAGCTGCATATCGAATAGAGCACATCAACTGTATGGCATATTAGTTGAATTCAATGAAGTGCAACCATAACAATCATATAAACCGATGTGAATGGCTAGAATAAATCATTGATATCGTTTTCTTTCTCTGTTTCTCACTACCATTCTAGTAGCTGAAGGATCATATGGAAATTGACTAAATGAACGCTAATAATTAATTAAAATAACGCGAGTGAACGCTTCAAAAATCATATAAAGTTGTCCTACCAGGAGCGTCCCACCGAGACCAGGGTGCAATCGGCGCCTGTGCCATTCGTTTGTAGCAATGAAAGAGTAAGCAAACTGTTTTGTTGATGAACAGAGGGTGAATACGAGTGGCTGGTGTATGGTGTGCGCTCGTTCGCTATTGTTGACTGAAATACTCATTTCACAATCAACATTCACGTAATATAACCAGATTGTTGACTGATTCACTTCAAATCACACAACCATAAGTCACATCCAAAAGCTACACCAAGAAGCTAGGCAAACAGTGCTAACGTTTACAGCGCATTGCTCATTACACTTAATGCTACATCATTCCTAATTGGTTTACTTTGGCATCCTTAAATAATTATTTTTGCGACTGTCAGTCATTTCCAACTGATTCGAATAAACTGCTCATCATGAATTCCTCATTTCTATCAACTTAAAAAAATCATTTGAGTGTCCAGAATTCCTCCAGACGTCCCAGAAAAGGATGCGATAAAGCATTTCATAGATGATCAAAACGTTCCAATTGACTTTTCAACATTTCGAAATTCGTCGTATTTTACTGGCCGAACTTCGGTTAGTTACCACCACTAGTGCATACAACATTCAGTAGTGTTTGTAAAATGTTGACGATTTTTTAATTCCTGATTTAAATCCCGGAATTGTTTTTCAGTCCCAGGATCCAAAAACTTTTGAAATGTCAAAATATCGTATGTTCAACATATTCTTTTTCAACCAATGTGTTCATATTAATTAAAAAACAATTTATTGAACAAACCACTTAGGTAAGAGCATTTTAAAAGGTGGAAAGAAAGCATCAACTTTACAAAAAAAGTACAGTTCAGATATAGCTTCAAAAGTTAAATTTTTTACAACAGTATCGTAACTTTTTCTATGGATGATTTCAGTGGAGTAAAGCTGCTTATGTCTGAGATGAAAGGAAACCAAAAATATTCCTTGATAAATTTTCCTTTGAAATTCTGAAATGTTTCAAGCTGATTTAAATTATGTTGTATGAATAATAGAATTCATATGAAAACATTAAAATAATTGAAATAGAATCGTCAACAAAAGGAATGATCATAAGCATTCGAACAAAAAAATTGAATTGAGATTGACATACCAGCAAATGATTCAAAGAAACAATTTAGTGAATTTTGAAATAAGCTCAGAGAAACATTAGGGCGTTGGTTGTTGAATTACTCATTCTTTCTAGCAATAGTGTTAAAACTCTAACCACCAACTGAGCAAAGGTTGACGATCGTTTCATTAAGTGGATCTGTATTTGGTGCAGGACTAGTTTTGAGGAATTTAGCAATCGGTGGATCTCTCTGTCATCTGGAGAATACTATATTGTGCTCCGACTTTAAATGCACAAGTAGTCCTTTCGTGGACGATCCTTCTGCTTTTTTAAATTGTACTGCGCAGTTTACACTCCGTAGTTTCATTGCCTTTTTTGAACAGAAAATGTTCCAAGCAGCGAGAATGTTTAACGCTTTCGTCAAATTCTTTAGTATCTCCGAAATTGCTTTGTATGAAAGCATATTCTAAGGGTAAATACGAAATTGATGGACTATAAGCAATGACGATGACGAGGAACGAAGCAAGACTGGAGACATTATTAGATCCTTATTCACTGTTTCATAAAAAATGAACGCTGAGGCGGCGCTATTATATATGATACATCCCTCTATTACTGCT